CGCAGCGCCGCCCGCGCCGGGATCCCCACGCGGGTAAGCGGGAAACCACGGCTCGCTGCAAAAGGGTTCAAGGGTTTGGCAAACTGTTCACAGGGGTCTTAGTTTGAGGGAAGAGACGAGGATCTGACTCCGTCTTTCAGAAGGCTTGATTTATTATTTTATTATATGTATCACATTAAAACTATACTGAAAGAATAGAAGAAAGGATTTCATCAGAAAGCTGGCTAAGAAGAGAATAGGAAATAATGATAACAAAGGTTTGTGGCTCAGACTCTCTGTCCGAGCCAGCTGGGCTGTGATTGGCCATTAATTAGAAACAACTAACATGGGCCAATCACAGATCTACCTGTTGTATTCCACAGCAGCAGATAATCATTGTTTATATTTCGTTCCTGAGGCCTCCCAGCTTCTCAGGAGGAAAAATCCTAAGGAAAGGATTTTTCATAAAAGATGTCTGTAACATTAAACCTTAACAGGGATTACAGCACAAGGATGAAATAAGGAAAAATTGCAGCGCTGGGAGCTGCCCTCGTGGCTGCCTAATCTTCAAGATTGATGCTTTGCCTTTTACACCCCTGGGGGTTGCACCAGCCACCCCTGGGCCCTCCCAAAGTCTGTCAGTCAGCTCTTCTTTGCAGTTTTTTGGTGGACACTAACTTCTTGTACCTTGATTGGAGGGTCAGGTGTTGTCATGCCCCCCAGCACCAAGCTTTTCCATTCCTGACCCTCCCATGCAAGGGGTGTATGCACATGGCTTCTTCCTGCCTGTCCTAGACAGCCCAGGCTGTCTGCTGGGAACAATACAGAGGGGAAAGGGGACTGTGGGGAGAACAGAGGACATCTAAACCACAATAACATAACTATACATCAGTGAAGCTTCTCTTAATATACACACAGTATCCATCCCTTAATTGCAAGAGCAAATCATCTCATTATCCATCTATAACAGTAAGGACACATCCCCTCCTCCTTTCTATTCCCAGCTGCTGAGCCTGTGGCTGGTCAGGAAATGCTGAAATGCTGGTTGAGTGTTGAGGTTTCACTTCAGTGTGAAGCTCCATGGATGGAGCACAGAGCTGGGAGTCCTCACTGGGCTCTGGGGGCTTTTCCCAGCTCAGCAGTGAGTACTGCATCCCAGGGAAGGGATTTCAATGGATGGTTTGGGTCTGAGATTGCAGCCCATGAGCCTCAAGCTTTGGCTGAAATCAGTGAAACTTCAGGTTCTTTAAAGCACAGGATGTNGGGAGCTTTGCAGTGCCCATCCCTGCAGGTGTGCCCTGGAGGTGGCACTGAGTGCTCTGGGCTGGGCACAAGGTGGGCACAGCTGGCACTGCATGAGCTGTGCCAGCCCCAGGGATTTGGGGATATTTGCAGTTCTTTTCTTGGTGAGAGTTTTGGGTATTTTATTTCCCATAATCCAGCCCATGCTGTGTTTGCCCTCTGCAGGAGGTCGCTCAGAGGGAGGAGGCTTTGCTGCTTTCTTTGACCTGAAGGCATCTGGCTATGATGATCCCATCCTGGTGTCCCAGACCAAGGGCCTTGGACCCAAACTGCAGGTAATTAGTAATTAACTGGCAGCTCCACTGCAGCACAGCTGATGGCACCTGCTGTTGATTTTTATTTTTATTTTTTTAAAATTTATTTCTAAAATCATCTCTATCTCTGGGAATAGAGGTCTTCTGTCTTTGGGGGTATAGGGTCTTATCATTTTTGTCTCTTTCTCTGTTTAAACTACTAATAGATTACAACTACTTTACCATCTGCTAACTTCGATATGGAGGCTTTTGTTTGATAGCAATTTGAACACTTTCATCTCTCTATACTTTCATATAGGGAAAAAGAGTTTTTCTCCATAGTTTTGCAAGAGGATTTCAGCCTTAAGATTAAGGCACTTCCTCATCCCCCCTATTTTGGATTTCAATTTTTATTTACTCACTTCGATGTCTTTATGCTGTTTCTTTACATGTCTGTATCTTGTTGTATCTTGGACTTAGATGTTTATTAGTTTTTATTTATGTTACAGTCTTACAAGTTGTGAGTTTTACAGTACTTTACTAACAAGGTAAATGGAGCTGAGTCTCTCTTTCTATAAGGTTTTTTAAGGACAAACTATCTAATTCAGAAATTACACATGAATTATTTTTACTTTTAACTTAGTAACTAGCTACCCATGACTTGTAATATGGACTTTTTATCTAATTACACAATGCTACTTAAACCTATGAAGAAGAAGGTAAAAAAGGAGTAGCTTCTGCTTTAAAACTTATATCTTATTTTTTTATATACTACTATATTCTAAAACTTTAAACTCTTAAGTTTTTTACCACATGATATTACACAATTCTATTTAAACTACACCCCCATAATTTCAGTTTTATCATTTAATTTTCACAGCTTTCTCCACAGTTTCAGGTCAAATGCAGTGTTCCCTTGGGGGTCAGCCTTTGTTAGCACAGAAAGTCTGAAATTCTCCATAACCAGGGTTCCAACCACCTGCCAGGGCTGTTTCAGTGCCACCAGCTACAACCTCCTGAGCTCCACAAACTCTCCTGAGTCCACCACAGTGGGCACCTGCACTTTGGAAATTGTTATTTGTGCCAGGCCTGGGCACACTTAACTGAGGATGGGGGTATTTTGTGGTGAAATGATAACAACCCCAAATTTAGCTGAAAACTTGAGGCACTGAAGCCCAGAATTTCTGCTATAAATTGGAGGTTCCATTGGCTTTGAGAAGGGTCTGTGTGGAGGAGCACAGGGAGTTGTTGGAATGACAACTGGCAGACTCAGACTAATAAATTGTGTGTGGAGAAGGAGAACAGCCCAGGGCATTGGGGAGAGGAAGGATGGAAGAAATAAACATTAAAGAAGCCAGTTAATAAAGAATTTTAATTAGCCAAGAACACACAGGACGAGCTGAGTTAGGAATATATTTATGTGGAGAATTGGCATTAATTGAACCAGGGATATATTTATGCATTGAATCAGGATGAGCTGACCTGGGGATTTATTTGTCTATTGAATCAGGAGGTTTTCAGCCATCAGGAGAGTGGAGATCTGAAGCTCCTTTCACTGCCAGGCACAGCAATGTCCTGTGTTTCCAACAGCTTCTGCCTTTAATGCCAGGACAACAAACAGCAGGACACTGAGCAGAATCATCCCCCAGCCTTTGGCAGTCTCACCTCCCCAGGCTCCTCTGAGCATGAAAAGTGCTTGGTGCAGGCTCCTGTGGGCCTTTGTTCCCCTGCCTGGCACAGAGACATCCCCAGCTGTGTCCCCAAGGTTCCTCCTTGGCCAAGGGCAGGCTGGCAGCTGCCTGCCAGGATTGCTGCTGGATCCGGGGCAGGGAGGAGCAGCAGAGGCCATGGGCTGCCTGTTTCCATGGCATTCCCCAGTCAGCCAGGGAAATCAATCAGGAATCCAAGCCCAGGCTCTGTCTGGGTGCTGCTCCCTCCTCATTGGGAATCCAGTGGTGTTTATTCCATGTTTTCTCCTCACCCACCCCTCTGTCCTGGCCCTTTCTGCACAGGTGGAACTGGGCCAGTGAAAGGAACCTCCTTGGAAGTTTATCCACTGATCATTCAAGGCCTTTTGCACCCTTGGGATATTGGCAATGAGGAATTGTTCCCTGGCAGGGGCTGGCATGGAATTCCCAGAGCAGCTGGGGCTGCCCCTGCATCCCTGGCAGTGCCCAAGGCCAGGCTGGGCACTGGAGACAGTGGGAGGTGTCCCTGCCATGGCAGGGGTGGCACTGGGTGGGCTCTGAGGTCCCTCCCAACCCAAACCATTCCATGATTCTATGATAATCATGGATTTTCTACGATAATATTCCAGAAAGCAATCAAAAACCAAAAATCTCAAAATGGCAATTTCTAGAATAGCTGAAATAGAATTTCTATGGCTGAAATTTGAACTAATATTTTAAAAAAGCCAAATAGATTTTTCTTTTTCTGTCTGCAAGAAAATGAGCTGTTTTCTCTTGATTTCAACCAGGTAATGCACCAAGTTCTGTCTTCCATGTATGTCCTGCAGTGCTTCCTTTCAGAGAGAAGAAGGTTTCTGCTGATTTCACTGATGAATAATTGAGTTTTGCCTGTTTCTCCTTCCCACCATGTTTTGCAGGTGGCCCAGGTGTGTAAAAGACACGACACCATCGGGCAGGACCTGGTGGCCCTGTGTGTCAATGAGCTCCTGGCCCAGGGGGCTGAGCCCCTCTTCTTCCTCAGCCATTTGTCCTGTGGCAAACTCGATGCTGAAGTGATGGAAACCATCAAAGAAGGAATTGCTGAGGCTTGCAGGAGTGCAGGCTGTGCTTTCCTGGGTAGGGACCCTCCTCTCCTCTGAGATGTGAAGGGTTTGAGGTTGAATTTACCACCAGAGAAATGGACTTGGGAGATGGAGGCAGAATGTGGCCTGGAGTTGTTGGTTTGTGTTTGGTGGGAAAAACAGTTGGGAATTTGTGTTTCAGTTCTTCCTGGTCTGTAAAATGGGTCAGCACAGAAAGATGGGGTTCAGTATTCACACAGAATCACAAGGTTGGAAGAGACCTTCCTTGTTCTTCCTTTTTTATCCCTGAACCAAAGGGAACAGAACTGGAAGCCTCACACTGCTCAGTGTCAATGTTTCCAAGCCCTCTCCCGTACTCAGGGAGCTGCCACGTGAGTACCAGAACCAATAATGACAAAAATCACTTCTTCTCTCATGAAGCTTTGTTTTGTTGGAGTCTTGAGGTGAGGTAACAAACTAAGAAGGATTTTAAAAATACATCTGAATCTTCTTGGTTTGTTACCTCACCTCAAGACTTCAGCAAAACCAACCTGTGTGTCCCTGGATGTGCTGCTGACTTTAGGAGATGCCATAAATTTAAAATGGTGTTACAATAATGGCTTTGAGCTGAGGGAGGGCAGGGTTAGGTGGGATATTGGGGATTAGGAATTGTTCCCTGGCAGGGTGGGGAGGAGCTGGGATGGAATTCCATCCCTGCATCCCTGGCAGTGCCAAGGCCAGGCTGGACACTGGGGACAGTGGGANGGGCTCTGAGCTCTCCCTGCAGCTTCTCCTCTCCAGGATGAAAACCTGAGTCTCACATTGTGCCCAGTCCCATACAAGTTTTCTCCTGCCTGTGGGCCACAAGGCAGCTCTTTGGGACAGGAATTTGTTCTGGCTTGTTCCATAAAAACCCCTGGCAAGGACCACCAGCATTGGCTGAGAACATTCCACGACTTGGGATGTCAAAGGCAGGAACTCCTCCTTCTGATATTAAATGGTTTTGAGGAGGTGTTTTTACAGCTGTGCACAAATTGAAATAAACTCTGCTAGAGGCTCTCCCTGCATGGAAAGGTTCTGAAGCAGCTTCTTCAGCTCCTGATTTGGATTCATGTGATATTTTTCTGACTCATGTCTAAAAAAAAATGATGCCAAAATCCACTCACATTTTCACAAGCAAGAGCACAAAGTTTTGGGAGCCCCTTGTTTGAAGGTCCTCAGGAGAGTCAGGAATCAGCACTCACCTCAGGGGCTGAAAATGAGAGATTAGGTAGAATCCTCCTCCTCCCCTTACCCAAGGGTGTGGCCAATCGACTCCACCACCTCCCTGGGCAACTCATTCCAATGCCTGACCACTCTTAAAAGGGAAAAATTGCTTCTAGTCTCCAATCTGAACCTCCTCTGGTGCAATTTAGGGACATTTCCTCTCGCCCTTTCACCTGGGACATGGCAGAAAAGAGCGACCCCACCTCACTGCACCCTCCTTTCAAATCATGGAGTGCCCTGGAATGAATCTGGTTTATTCCTCTTTATTGCCCAAGCAGCTGCTCCCAATCCCACCTTGTGCTGTGTCTCACTGCCCCAGGTGATTGATCACAAACTGTATGGGAGTCGCTCGGAATTCGACAGCACCATTGACCGAGTCCTGGAGGAATTCTCTGTGGAGCTGATCTGCCTGTCAGGGTTCATGAGAGTTCTGTCCAGCCCTTTTCTCCGAAAATGGAAAGGTGAGGAATCAAACGTAAAAGAGAAACTAAAGCAGGGGTGGCTGGATTCACCAGGATTGTACTGTCAGAGTTCCTTGTGTTTTGATTAAATCCCTCAGCCCTGCTGGCACTGCTGACATTCCAGGAAGGAAACCCTGTGCTTCCCTCTGGCA